GGCCAATCATAACGCACTGGATAGCTGGCCAATCAGAGCACACCTCACTTTTTCAGACTGATGAGCTTTGTAAAAATCGACGCGTTTCAGAAAGGCGGGGCGTAGAGGAGAAACAATAATGTACAGTATGTGGAAAATAATGTGTGTTTTTAATCTTAAACCGCATAAACACATTTCATTACACCAAATACACAAAATAATGTTATTTTTAGCAACATCATATGACCCCTTTAAGTGAAAAGTACTAAAATTACAAAAACCGAAATCAAAATAAATTAAAGATTAAAATAATATTAATAATAATAATTGGCAAAAGAACATAAAATTACCAAAACTTAAACTAAAATTAAAACAAAAAACTCAAAATATAAAAATAAAAGCTCATTCAAAATACTGATAAATACTGTAAGAGTATAAATAATACTAAAATATCACTGTTTGAGAGACACTGTGCAGGTACTTAATTATTTTCATGTTCCCTGCGATTAAAACCCATAACCTTTCATTGTTAATGTCACTAACAACAGTGAGGTTAGTGATTCACATCCCAGTTCGAATACTAACTTAATGACATGCTTTATTTACTAGAACTGCGGGATCTAAACACTTGTTAACATATGTATTCATGAATAAACTACCGGTACTACTTAATCTTTCGTTTGTCTTTCAAAAAGAGATACATCAACACAAAACCATACCTCTTTTTCATTTTTAGCCACTTTCATTTCAAGATCATAACAAGCCTCGTCAACGATATCAATCTTGCGGTGAAGCTCTTTGCATAGTTCCTGAAAAAAACAAAACATTAAAGACATTCATAAATATACTGTATATTTATTTCTGCATGTTGCTGGTGCAGAAATGTTTATTCATGAAAATACCTGGAGCTCCTTTGCAGACAGACCAGATAGGTTGAGAGGAGGAACCCTCTCATTAAGAGCATCCTCCCTCTCTCTTTTGTTCTGCTCTATTTCAGCTGCCAGCATAGATGTGGCCGCCTTCAATAATTTGCTCTGTAATGTAACAGCACTGATGTGACTATAAAGTTCCAGCAGATTAGCACATAGCTTAGCATTGCATTGCGCAGCACACTGCTAACACAGCCAGCCTTTTCGTCGTGGATTCTAGTCTTGCCTTTCATTATTTTACAGACATTTAATGTGTGCATATGTTCACTTCCACATCAGTATTACTTAAAAAATGATACACCGTTGAAAGGTTTGGTTGTCAAAAATGCAGTAAAAACAGTAATATTGTGAAATATTATTTGTTTTCTATTTCAATACTGTATATTTTAAAATGTAATTTATTCCTGTGATGCAAAGCTGAATTTTCAGCATCATTACTCCAGTCTTCAGTGTCACATGATCCTTCAGAACTCATTCTAATATGCTGATTTTCTGCTCAAGAAACATTTATTATCATTATCAGTGTCGAAAACAGTTGTGCTGCTTAATATTTTATGCATCCTTGCTGAATAAAAGTATTAATTTCTTAACATTAATCATTTAATTTCTTTCAAGAAAAAAACTTACTAACCCCTTACTAACTTACTAAACAGTAGTGTATTTTATTAAAAAACAAACAGACAACTTACTTTTAAGAGCAGCCGCCTTGTGGCAGTATACTTTGTTTGTTTCTGAAAAACAATACAAGTCATGTTTAATCTCTCCAAATTATTCTTGAATAATTTATGGATTATGGTATAGCTTGCCAAAACTTACCGGTCTACAATGACGAAGCACAAAGCAAAGCGATGAGGAAAAAAAGAAACACCAAAATAAATTATCGAAAGAGATCAATAGATCCACTCTACAATTTTAATAATAAGGCTGTCAAAGTACTTACCCTTCAGACATGGTTATTTCTCAGTATGAACGCTGAAAAGGAAAATGTTTAATAATTATTTTTAAAATGATTTAAAAACATAAAGTGTTTAAAAGGACATCACATATGTGATCACATTATATGTTCCATTTTCCAACTTAGTCACAGTAACAAAGGTGATGGATGGATGTCCATGTATGTGATCCTCGATGTCTTTTAGGTGATGATATCATTCAGTGTGTATTAATCTGTGCATCAGATCTGCGTCGCTAGGAAACATGCTTACCGTCCACACATAAAACATAGTCTGGAAAAGTGATGAGTGCCAAGTATTTGAAAGGCGGGCGAGTCACATTGTAGAGGAAAATTTAATTTTAAATTTAATGGCCCTTGTAAACAAAGAAGACTGGTGCCAAGCACTCTATCCATACCTATTCATTGCATTCGAACCTATTGTGCCTGATAAAGCACATGCTTGTTAGTGTTCCCAGCCTGGCTACATTTGAACATTGCTGCCATCCTTTCATATGGCCCAGTTTCAAGCTCTAGCCTTGAACTCACTACATTGGATGCTAATGCTTTTTATATGGATCCTGGCCAGAACTCAAGTTTTGGAAAATATATTTTGAACGAAATGATCTGGGTATAGTGTGTGTTTTAAGCTAATAAGGAAAAATGTTAAATGATCACATTTTTATGCTTTTGATTTCCAACATACAATTCATACTTAAAAATTTAGGAATGCAAATTTAGGAAGTAGTCGTTCAAGAGTTCAATCAAAAACTAGCCACAAGTTCAGAGGTGTTTTCTTGTTCACTCGCCAGAGCAAATTATACGACAATTTTTTTTTCCAATTTGAGTGCTTAAGTGCAAGACAAACCATCTGAGAACTCTTCATAGTCTAATTGGTTCTGCGAGCCAAATCTCTGGCTAAGTCAAGAACGCTGGATCTTGTATCCACACTTCTCCAAGTCGAAGCTAGCTATGAAACAGCTACAGTATTTCATAACATACATTCCTTAAAGTTGACACAAGTGGCTTGTTACAGAAATAAAGGCGTGTGGCGTTTGCTAATCCCTGCGGGGAGCCGCGGCCATGACACGGGAGAATGTAGGATGTATATGCATTCATCCTCCAACAGTGAAGGTGTGCTTATGATTATCTCTAAAGTCCAAATGTGTGCTGTAAATCTACAAGCGATAAACAGACTATACAGTACAAATCCCCCCAACAAATGTTTAGCAGTAAACTCAATATCCTTAAGTATGTATGACAGCATGTGTGGGTCCATTAAACTTGGTGCTGTGAATGTGATATCTTGTAGGACTTACCTTGAACTAGGAGGCAATCAGGGCAAGACGAGTTGTGTGGTGGCGTCGAAGAAGAATAAATGTTATATGTTTTTCATGAAGGATTTATGGGTTGAATCCTGCTTGTGAATGGCTCACTAAAATAGACCCCCGTTACGTCTCTTGTTCTCGCGTGTGCAAATATCTGGGCAATTTGTTCTTCACCTTTCTCAACGGAGTGTGTTTGTCATCCAGGACAGGGACATAAACATTTCCAAATGACACACACTAGTGCAAAGGTCATGCACTTGAGTTTGAGTTTATTTGACACAAAAAGTAGCAATACACTGTTACAACTTTCTTGTCAAGGATAACACAATAAAGTTGCATTAACTTATTTCCATTGTGGTCCTTGCTTTTAAAACAAAAAAAAAGAAGAAAATCCTAGTCAAAAAAATCATAATCAAAAAATTCACCCACACCCATAAAAATAACAAACAGATCAAACAATTCCTTATACATTTAACTCATCTTATCATCTTACTTCAATTCTCTCTCTGTTATACTAATAAAGTAGCAACTTAACTAAAACTAAAACGATTAAAAAGCATTTTTGTTCATTGAAATAAAACCGAAATAAAATAAAATCTAAATATTCGATTAAATTTTTTAAATTTTATTTATTTTTTGGTTTTTGTTTTTGTTTAATGTTGCTTTGTCAACCAACTGAAACAAGTTTAAGTTGAAACAGTAAAGTTATTAACTAGAAATAAATAAAAATTAAAAGTGAACTAAAACTGAAATAAAAACAAATTAAATTTAAACAGTAAGATTTAAAAAGAAAGAAATAATTCAAATGGCAAAAGCACATAGCAAAATTACCAAAACTTAAAATAATAGGCCTATTAAAATGAAAACTGAAAAAAAATTAAATAAGCTAATTCAAAATATTAATAAAACCTATAATAGTACATAAATAATACTAAAATAACACTTCCAGTAATGAACATTTTAAAGATTTATTTAGAGATTTGTCCATTTTGACTTACCTGATAGAACAAACACTTCTGCATTAGGAACTAAATTGATAACACTTATAAGGTTTCACTTGTTAACATTAGTTAACTACATCAATTAACATGAACTAACAATGAAAAATGAACATTATTAAAATCAAAAGTATCAATTAATATTATTTATTGGACAGTTGTATTTTTATTAACCAATGTCAACAAAGATTAATAAATACTGTAACAATTATATTGTTCATTGTTAGTAAATGCATTAACCAATGTTATCTAATGGGACCTCATTGTAAAGTGTTTAATTTAATTTAATTTAATTTAATTTAATTGCACTGTAACTTTGTTAATTCACAAAATAAGCTTATTTTGTTGACATATATGATTTGTTAACTCCACAATTGTAATAAAATGTTCTCCTCATAAATGCTAAAGTTAACTGGCCTTTTTATTAACTTGCATGCTTGTGTTTGAGGACCATAAAAACAGAGTTCTTCAAGGCTATGGAGCCCGTGTGCCGTGTAAATGGGGTGAGGGCAGACAGCCATGTGTATTTGTTTAGAAGAGAGATTTTATTTAAGGGATACTGACCTTTGTATGCTGATATGTCATGTAGGCCCAGCATGTGATTAATAACAGCTTCCAGTGATGATATTGTGCTAGAGTTTTTACTGTGTGACAGAATGAGACAAGGGTTTTGCAAGAGCTTCTCAAATCCTCTGCTGACTGCTGGCATGTAGCAGTAGATATCAGTGTCAGCAGACCTCACAAAGTCATTTTAGTGTTTAAATGTGGAAGTTTGCTTGTTAGGGCGCTGTTCTCTTCTTTTAAAGTGTAATGAAAACTAGCATGATTCTGTGGGGAGTCTTGCAAAGACAGTCTCTGGCTAATGGTGTTACAATTCTGTGTGAAAATAAAGCTTACTAGAATGTAAGACACAACTGCTGTTTGCAGAGATGGAGAGAATAAATATACATTGCTTATACAATGATTCAAATTACCCTGTTAATTCATCTTTGAACTGACATGCGCCCTCTAGTGGTAATGAATTGATTTTTATACAGTTTTTAAAAATTGCTTAGACACTAAAAGTGGTACTTGAGGCCCACTCAGTGAAACCATTCACTCATATACCTAAACTTTAGACCAAGTCTGCAAAATTACAAGCACATTACGTGCTTTAAACTCAGTTTGATATTGTAAAACAAACTTTTTGCTAAACTCTAAACACAAAACTCTCTACATTACACACTATCATTCAAAACAAACAGTCCTTTTTGTTTCATTTGGGAAACTGCCATTTAAATGCCACACTCATTTACTGATGACCTACAGCCATGTTTTATGTGTGAAAACACTTATACATACATATATGTATGTATGATTTATATGTGTGTGTATAGTACACACACACACACACACACACACACACACACATATATATACTGAATATGCATACAAGCCAAGTCAGAAAGTCAACTTTATTTCTAAAGCACTTTATAAAATATAGATTGATTCACAGCAGCTTCACAATTAGTATCAAATTCAAATTCTGCTGTAAAGCAGCTCTAACAAATCAATAGTGTCATTATACAGCTCAAGTCAGTTCAGTATTGATTCAGTTCAGTTGCATGTGTAAAATTCATCAGTTGTACATGCATACTGTATATACAGTGTATATGTGCATATGCATGTATGTGTGAGTGATATGACAAACTCCTGTGCACTCCACTGCACTCATAAGAAAGACACACAAGAGTAGTGTTTTACATTTTTCATATCTGTGTAGTTTGGTGTGTGGCTAATTATTTTATGTTTGTGTGTAGAGTTACTACGCAAAAATATATTTTTTTAAATAGTTGTAAAAGACGTGTTTGCTTTTGCAAGATACTCTGTGTGTGACATTTTTCATGATGTGTGTGTGTTTTGTGTGTAGAGTTTGTGTGTAGAAATGGAGCCATAGTTTCAAAAACTGTGTAAGCATGTATAAAAACAAAAACTGGCATTTCTTTCAGAAAAAAAAGACAAAAAAATGACTGACCTCAAACTTTTAAATGGTAGTGTATAATGTTACAAAAGATTTCTATTTTAAATTCTTCAATTCTCTCTCTGTTATACTAATAAAGTAGCAACTTAACTAAAACTAAAACGATTAAAAAGCATTTTTGTTCATTGAAATAAAACCGAAATAAAATAAAATCTAAATATTCGATTAAATTTTTTAAATTTTATTTATTTTTTGGTTTTTGTTTTTGTTTAATGTTGCTTTGTCAACCAACTGAAACAAGTTTAAGTTGAAACAGTAAAGTTATTAACTAGAAATAAATAAAAATTAAAAGTGAACTAAAACTGAAATAAAAACAAATTAAATTTAAACAGTAAGATTTAAAAAGAAAGAAATAATTCAAATGGCAAAAGCACATAGCAAAATTACCAAAACTTAAAATAATAGGCCTATTAAAATGAAAACTGAAAAAAAATTAAATAAGCTAATTCAAAATATTAATAAAACCTATAATAGTACATAAATAATACTAAAATAACACTTCCAGTAATGAACATTTTAAAGATTTATTTAGAGATTTGTCCATTTTGACTTACCTGATAGAACAAACACTTCTGCATTAGGAACTAAATTGATAACACTTATAAGGTTTCACTTGTTAACATTAGTTAACTACATCAATTAACATGAACTAACAATGAAAAATGAACATTATTAAAATCAAAAGTATCAATTAATATTATTTATTGGACAGTTGTATTTTTATTAACCAATGTCAACAAAGATTAATAAATACTGTAACAATTATATTGTTCATTGTTAGTAAATGCATTAACCAATGTTATCTAATGGGACCTCATTGTAAAGTGTTTAATTTAATTTAATTTAATTTAATTGCACTGTAACTTTGTTAATTCACAAAATAAGCTTATTTTGTTGACATATATGATTTGTTAACTCCACAATTGTAATAAAATGTTCTCCTCATAAATGCTAAAGTTAACTGGCCTTTTTATTAACTTGCATGCTTGTGTTTGAGGACCATAAAAACAGAGTTCTTCAAGGCTATGGAGCCCGTGTGCCGTGTAAATGGGGTGAGGGCAGACAGCCATGTGTATTTGTTTAGAAGAGAGATTTTATTTAAGGGATACTGACCTTTGTATGCTGATATGTCATGTAGGCCCAGCATGTGATTAATAACAGCTTCCAGTGATGATATTGTGCTAGAGTTTTTACTGTGTGACAGAATGAGACAAGGGTTTTGCAAGAGCTTCTCAAATCCTCTGCTGACTGCTGGCATGTAGCAGTAGATATCAGTGTCAGCAGACCTCACAAAGTCATTTTAGTGTTTAAATGTGGAAGTTTGCTTGTTAGGGCGCTGTTCTCTTCTTTTAAAGTGTAATGAAAACTAGCATGATTCTGTGGGGAGTCTTGCAAAGACAGTCTCTGGCTAATGGTGTTACAATTCTGTGTGAAAATAAAGCTTACTAGAATGTAAGACACAACTGCTGTTTGCAGAGATGGAGAGAATAAATATACATTGCTTATACAATGATTCAAATTACCCTGTTAATTCATCTTTGAACTGACATGCGCCCTCTAGTGGTAATGAATTGATTTTTATACAGTTTTTAAAAATTGCTTAGACACTAAAAGTGGTACTTGAGGCCCACTCAGTGAAACCATTCACTCATATACCTAAACTTTAGACCAAGTCTGCAAAATTACAAGCACATTACGTGCTTTAAACTCAGTTTGATATTGTAAAACAAACTTTTTGCTAAACTCTAAACACAAAACTCTCTACATTACACACTATCATTCAAAACAAACAGTCCTTTTTGTTTCATTTGGGAAACTGCCATTTAAATGCCACACTCATTTACTGATGACCTACAGCCATGTTTTATGTGTGAAAACACTTATACATACATATATGTATGTATGATTTATATGTGTGTGTATAGTACACACACACACACACACACACACACACACACATATATATACTGAATATGCATACAAGCCAAGTCAGAAAGTCAACTTTATTTCTAAAGCACTTTATAAAATATAGATTGATTCACAGCAGCTTCACAATTAGTATCAAATTCAAATTCTGCTGTAAAGC